CCTGGTCCTCCTCCTCCTCCGCCTCCTCCTCCTTCTCATCCTTCTTCTCCTCCTCCTCCTCCTCCTCCCTCCTCCTCCTCCTCCTCCTCCTCTCTTCCTCCTCCTCTCTCCTCCTCCTCCTCCTCATCATGCTCCTCCCCCTCATCCTTCTCCGCCTCCAACTCCTCCTCTTCCTCCTCCTCCTCTCCTCCTCCTCCTCCTCCTCCTCCCTCCTCCTCCTCCTCCCCCTCCTCCTCCCCTCCTCCTCCTCCTCCTCCTCCTCCTCCTCCTCCCCTCCTCCTCCTCCTCCTCCTCCACCTTCTCCTCCTCCTCCTCCTCCTCCTCCTCCTCCTCCCCTTCTCCTCCTCCTCCTCTTCCTGCTCATCCACCGCCTCCTCCTCCTCCTCATCATCATCATCATCATCATCGGCCTTCTCCTCCTCCTCCTCCTTCTCCTCCTCCTCCTCCTCCTCCTCCGCATCCTCCGCATCAGCAGCATCATCATCATCATCATCATCATCATCATCATCATCATCATCATCAGCAGCAGCAGCAGCAGCAGCAGCAGCATAATCATCATCTTCATCATCATCATCGTCATCATCATCATCAGCAGCAGCAGCATCAGCATCAGTATCATCATCATCAGCATCAGCATCAGCATCATCAGCATCAGCATCCTCATCATCACCACCAGCATCACCACCACCACCATCATCATCAGCAGCATCATCACCAGCATCATCAGCATCATCAGCATCATCATCACCACCATCGTCATCATCATCATCATCATCATCATCATCATCATCAGCATCATCATCATCATCATCAGCATCGTCAGCATCATCATCATACTCATCATCATCAGCAGCATCAGCATCATCGTCAGCATCATCATCATAATAATAATCATCATCAGCATCATCATCATCGTCATCAGCATCGTCAGCATCATCATCATAATCATCAGCATCAGCATCGTCATCATAATCATCAGCATCATCATCATAATCATCGACATCATCGTCAGCGTCATCATCAGCGGCACCATCATCATCACTCATCAGCATCATCATCATCGTCGTCATCATCATCACCATCACCATCATCATCAGCATCGTCAGCAGCATCACCATCATCAGCATCATCATCATCACCAACAGCATCATCATTATCATCAGCATCATCTTCATCACCAGCAGCATCATTATCAGCAGCATCAGCATCAGCATCATCATCGTCAACAGCATCAGCATCATCAGCATCAGCACCATCATCATCATCAGCATCATCATAATCATCAGCATCATCAGCAGCAGCAGCATCGGCATCATCGGCATCGGCATCATCAGCATCATCAGCATCATCAGCATCATCAGTATCAGTATCAGTATCATCATCATCATCATCATCATCATCATCATCATCATCATCATCATCATCATCATCAGCATCAGCCTCCGCCTCCGCCTCCGCGTCTTCCTCCTCCTCCTTCTCCTCCCCCCTGCTCCTCCTCCTCCTCTTCCTCCTCCTCATCCTCTTCCTCCTCCTCCTCCTCATTCCTCCTCCTCCTGCTCCTCCTCCCCCTCCTCCTCCTCCTCCTCGTCATCTTCTTCCTCCTCCTCCTCCTCCTCTCTCCTCATCCTCCTCCTCCGCCTCCTCCTCCTCCTCTCTCCTCATCCTCCTCCTCCTCCTCCTCCTCCTCCCTCCTCCTCCTCATCCTCCTCTCTTCCTCCTCCTCCTCCTCCTCCTCCTCCTCCTCCTCCTCCCTCCTCCTCTTCCTCCTCCTCCTCCTCCGCCTCATCCTCCTCCTCCTCTCCTCCTTCTCCTTCCTCCTTCCTCCTTCCTCCTTCCTTCCTCCGCCCTCCTTCCTCCTTCCTCCTTCCTCCTTCCTCCTCCTCCGCCCTCCTCCTCCTCCCTCCTCCTCTTCCTTATCCTCCTCCTCCTCATCCCTCCTCCTCCTCCTCCGCCTCCTCCTCCTTCTCCTTCCTCATTCCTCCTTCCTCCGCCCTCCTTCCTCCTTCCTCCTTCCTCCTCCTCCTCCTCCTCCCCCTCCTCCTCCTCTTCCTCCTCCTCTCCCTGCCGCTCCACCACTCGTTCTCCCCCACATCCGCTTCCTTTCCTCGCTCCCCGAGATTCCCTCCCCTACCCTTCGCCCTCCACCCGGCGCCTTTCTGCAGCCCCCAGAGGCCCAGGAAAGGCCAGGGACCACCCGAACGTTCGAAGACTTCTGAGAACCACCGCAGAGAAGGGGGCAAATTTCCAAGGCCACTAGGGATGGCGCGAACGAAAAACATCTGCAAAGCCTCAAGGACCAAGGTGAATGGGGCGAAGCGCCAATGCAGGTTTGTACATACATAAATAAATATAGATATGTGTGCAGGAGAGGGGAAGACAGAAAGAGAAAGAGAAAGATAAAAGAGAGAGGGAAGGGATAGGAAGAGAGAGAGAGAGAGAGCAAGAGAGAGAGAGAAGAGAAGAGATATTAGAACGAGAGAATAGAGGGAGACAAGAGAGAGAGGGAGAGAGGAGAGAGGAGAGAGAGAGAGAGAGAGCGATTAAGGAGCACACGCACACGTATGAGAACACCCTTCGAGTGGTGATGGAGTCGGGGGACAGCCTTCGGCTTACCATGGGCGCCCGAGGCGCACAAACATCGGCAGAACGGACAGCCACAGGACATACAGAGACAACCAGTGGAGAGCCACACGATACCCGCGGGACAACCGCAGGCCAGCCACGAGACAACCCCTGGACAACAGCGGGACAGCCCAGAGGGCCCGCGGCAGTGAACCCGACCCGACGCGCAAGTCTGCGGCAGGCTCCCTCGCAGCTTCGGCTCGCCTCACCCGGACGGGCCGAGGCTCGTCACGCGCACGCTGCAATGCAAGCTATGTGACAGACGGGGGCGAAGGCGCGGGAGCAGGAGCGGAGGAAGAGGAGGAGGAGGAGGAGGAGGAGAAGGAGGACCAGTGCAAACCCAAGACTCATCAACGATGTTGGGATAAACCCTTCCAAACTCCCTCTTCGTAGGCCCATACATGGGTGCATCTCCACTGAGGAAAGCGCCCCGTTGGGAGACAACCGCCTGAAGACCCTGAAGCATGCCAAAACACCATTCTCGAGACTCCTGCGCCACGAATCAACGTGACTCTTGCGTTTTGGCGATCCTGAATCGTGCCAGAACGCTACTCCTGGGACTTCAACACCGCGAGAATCAATGTAACCGTTGCGCCCTGACAATCCTGAATCGCTCCACAACACCACTTCTGGTACATTGGCCATGGGAATCCGTGAAATTCTTGCAGGTTTCTGACAAGAATGCGCGCGGCGCTAAGGCGAGAGCCACCTTTTGAAAACGAGCCGCCCTCAATCGGTGAAGCTCTTGCTATCAAAAAACCAACGCGCGCGGCGCTCAGGCGAGAACCACATTTTGAAAACGAGCCGCCCTCCATCCGTGAAACTCTTGCGAATGTTTAACACGAACGTGCGCGGCGCTACGGCGAGACCCACATTTTGAAAACCACCCGCCTTCAATTCTTACAACGAGTGTGCGCGGCGCTCGAGCGAGAGCCACATGTTGAAAAAGGTCCGACCTTCATCCGTGAAGCTCGTGCAACTAGTAAAACGAATGTACGCGGCGCTAACGCGAGACCCACATGTTGAAAACCACCCGCCCTCCATCTGTGAACTTGCTTCAAGGTCACAAATGGTGAGAAATCTGAGGCGAAACGCCCGGCCCGCCCTTTCGACCAGCCTCGAGGCGCGACAGGGAGGAGTTATTGGTAAGGAAAAGGAATGGAGGAGGAGGAGGACGACGAGGAGAGGATGGGCAGCTGCAGGAGGGGAATGGAAGGGAGGAGGAGCAGGACAGGAGAAAGTAAACAGACGAGGGCGACGACGACGACGACGACGGGAAGGAGCAACTTCGAGGAGGACGAAAATTGGGAGAAGGGGAAATTAGAGGGAGGAGGAGCAGCGGGAGAAGCGACAGGAGGAGAACACGAAGCAGGAGTGCAGGATAAGCTGAATGGAGGAGGGGAGAGGGTGTGGAGAGGAACGAGCAGCAAGAGACGGCGAAACGATGAAAAAGAACCACACTGTACTCCAAATTCCTGACGTGACAACGCGGTCTCCGGTTCCTGCGTTCGCGTGAACCGTTCGAAATTGAACTGGTTCAACTGTCGAAATGCCCCAGGGGGCACCCGAAACTTCTGTTCCAAATGCGAGATGAATGGGAAGAGATCGAATCAACAACATCTTTTAAGATGGCCCATGTGGGGCGGTTTCGAAACCCGCTCAAGGTTTGGGCCTATACGGTTTCGGAATATTGCACGCTGCTGATTCTCATTACGCCACGCGTGAAACAAAAACAACTCGCCACCACCACCCCAACCAACAAAAACAATGAATTACTTCCACGCTTCTATGGCGCCTCTCCGAGATGCGCAAAAAAGTCAGCTGCTGAACCTCGTATCAGAAATGCGATTCAACGATCCTAAACTAAACCTACGGAGGTAAAAGGCCCTCGGCGTTGGATCGCCATTCGCTCTCTGACTTCCTCCACCACCCTGCCAAATGTTCCAAACTCGAGCTCGACAAAATGAGGGAAGATCACGAAATAGAAATGAGAAACGTTGGGATTGCGGGATCTGTGTGACCGTAGCTCTATTTTGAAATGCCTGTGCAGCCGTCTCCAGCGTAAGCGTAAACTTTCGGAGGTCTGCGCGGACTTCTTGGATCGGCGCTGTGCCCCCCTCCCTGGCGTGCGGAGCGCGCCGGAGGCGCCACCTGAGGCGACGCCGGGGTGGACAAGAAATCCGCGCGGACCTCCAAAAACGTATGTGTTCATGTTGTTTTGTTTTGGGAGCTGCGTGCGCAAAGTCTGCGAAAGCATGCAATCATAGCTCTTGGGCCACACGGAAGGATGTTTGGGCTCAAACGCCCACGCCAGCCCTGCCGCCGCGCCGACACGCCACGAACCCATCGCACGCTCGCGCTGCAAAGCTACCCACGGCTCCTCGTCGTGGCCGCCCCCCGATAGCCTCCTGTGACCGCTGTCCTGGCGAAGCGCAACGGGAATCCTCGCCTCCTCCTCCTCCTCCTCATCCTCCTCCACACCCTCCTCCACACCCTCCTCCTCTTCCTCCTCCTCCTCCTTCTCCTCCTCCTCCTCCTTCTCCTCCTCCACACCCTGCTCCACACCCTCCTCCTCCTCTTCCTCCTCCTTCTCCTCCTCCTCTTCCTCCCAGTGTTCCTCCTCCTCTTCCTCCTCCTCCTCTTCCTCCTCCTCCTCCTCCTCCTCCTCCTGCCTCTCCTTCTCCTCCTCCTCCTCCCCCTCCTCCTCATCCTCCTCCTCCTCCTCCTCATCCTCCGCATCCTCCTCCTTCTCCTCCCCCCCGCTCCCCTCCTCCTCCTCCTCCTCATCCTTCTCCTCCTCCTCCTCCTCCTCCCCTTCTCCTCCTGATGATCCTACTCCTCCTCCTCCGCCTCCTCCTCCTGCTCCATATCCTCCCCTCCTCCTCCTGGAACCTTTTTTTCTCATGAGCCGCCTCTCACTGTCTCACCGTAGACACGCCCGTAGGGCGGGCCGAGCGTTTCGCAAGAGATGTCCTCACGATTTGTGATGCTGAAGCCTGAAATTCGCAACAGCTTCAAAGATGGAGGGCGGATCGTTTTTTTAATGTTGCTCTCGCCGTAGCGCCGCGGGCATTCTTGCTAAAATTCGCACTGCAACAATTTCAAGAAGGAAGGGCGGTTCAATTCCAAAATGCGGTTCTCGTCTCAGCGCCGCGCACACTCGTCTTAAAAGTTGGCATCAATTACAAATATTCGCGTGCTTGACGTTCCAAGAACGGTGCAGTGGCACGATTAAGGACCGTCAAGACGCAATCGTGACATTGATTCGCTGTGACTCATGTTCGTGCTCCCGTATGAATACTATCCGAACCCTCCTCCTCCTCCCGAACCCTCCTCAACTGCTCATATTCCCCATCCTCCTCCTCCTAATGGTCATCAGCAGCAGCATTGCCCCTACTGTCCGCCACCGTGCCTGCGGGGCACGTGCTGGAATGTTCTCAGGTCCCTTGGCGTCCTCGGTCCTCTATCCTGCGGTTCTGTGGGGGGACGAGACCTCAAATTCTAAAATCTGCCGGGCTGTGGCGCGTGGCTCCCAGGCATTGGCGCGTCTTCCCACGTGACTTTTTCAAGCCCAGGAGGGCCGCCCAAAATTGGCCAAGAAGGCTCCAAGAGCCATCCCAGACGGTCCAAGAGAGCCCCAAGTCGCTGAACCATCTCTCCGAGACGCTCAAGATGTTCTTCAGACGGCCCAAGACGCCTCCAAGACGATCCAATATGCATTTGAGAGCACTGCAACGAGGGTCCCAAGAGGGCCTCAATAGACACAACTGATTGATGTGCTTCCGGTGTTTCTAGGTTGTTCGCGTTTCCGTCTGTTCGGCTTCTCGACGCTCCAAAACGGTAAATGAAGCCCCAAAAATCGCCCCAAGACAGCCGAAGAGGTTTCCAAAAGAGCATTCAGGTGGCCCAAGAGGGCCCCAAGACGGCCCAAGATACATCCTTGACTGCTAAGCAAGGGTCCAAGACCACCCCAAGAGGCGCCCCGGAGGGAGAATTCGAGTCCGCATTTCGAGCCATCTGCCCCAAGAACCCTTAGGACGCCCCAAGGGGCCCCCAAGAGGCTCCAAGAGGCCCCTCAGAAGCCCCCAGGAAGCCACAAGAGGCCCCCAAAGGCCCTCAAGAGGCATCCAAGATGCCCAAAGAGGCTCCCAAAGGGGCCCGAGACAGCTCAAGAGGGATAAAGAGGCTTCCGGACGGTACATGAGTGGTACCACTTGAGCCATGCAGACGATATGACTCAAGTGGCACCGCCTTGCTACCACTTGAGTCATACAGACGATCGGTATTAAGACGGTACAACTCAAGTGGTACTGCCACTTGGTTGGTACCATCTGAATGATACAGACTATATGATTCAAGTGGTATGGGTTCGATAGCGACGATATGATTCGAGCAATTCTGCCTTAGCTAAACTTTGATCATCCGGACGTCTGGCACCTCTTGGGTCACACAGACGACATGACTCGAGCGGCACTTGTTTGGTACCACTCTGAGCATGCAGACGATGTGACTCAAGTGGTACTGCCTTGGTAGCGCTTAGACCATAGAGACGATAAGAGTCAAGACGACATCACTCAACAGGTGTTACCCGAGTCGCCGACACATCTCTCCAAGACGCTCTCGATGACCACCAGACGACCAAAGACGCCTCCGAAACGTCCCAAGAGGCCTCCAAGAGGGCCCCACGAGGGAATTGTTTGATGTTCCTTGGGTGTCTCTATGTGTTTTGCGTTTACGTCGGCTCCCCGGCGCTCCCAAACTGCACAGGAAGCTCCAAAAGATCGGCCCAAACCGGCCCACGGGGCCTCCACAAGAGCTTCCAGGCGGCACAAGAAGGCTCCAAGACGGCCCAAGAGGCCTCCTGGACGGCAAAGAAAGCGCTGGCCAACCGCTCAAACCCCCCGCCCAAAAAGAACCCCTCAGACCGCCAACAGGCGCCCTAGAGGTCACACAAAAGTCCCGAAAGGCAACCAAGAGACCCAAATGAGACCACCCGAGGCCCTGAAGCAGCAATTGAGAGGCCTCGGACCTGCGTCCAAGAGGCTGAAAACGACTAGCCCTGAGGCCTCTGAACCACGAACCGAGGCACGATGGCGGGCTGGGCCGAAGGCCATTAGGGTTTAAAGTTATGGTCGTACACATGCTCCTGCTCATACTCCGCCTGCTGATCCTGCGTTTCCTGATCCTGGCCCTCAGCTCCCATCTCCTGCCCGTGGTGAATCGAGTCGTCCTGCATCTCTTCATTATGCGACAGCTGCTGTCCGTCATACTCCTCATCCTCATCATCATCAGCATCATCATCGTCATCATCATCACCATCATCATCATCAACATCATCGACAGCAGCAGGAGCAGCCGCAGCAACATCATCACCAGCATCCTTATCATAAGCACAATCGTCAGCATCATCGGCATCATTATCATCACCACCACACCATCATCATCATCATCATCATCATCATCATCATCATCATCATCATCATCAGCATCATCATCAGCATGATCATCATCATCGGCAGCATCATCATCATGAACACTACCACCACCACAATCAGCGTCGTCGACACCTTCATCACCATCATGATTATCACCATCAACAACATCATCATGATCATCACCATCATGATCCACGCTCGCGCGTAGTCCCTTGTCCTGCCCGTGCTCAGGTACGATACTTCTCCCACCCTCTTCCGCTTCCATGCTCCTCCGTCTCCTCCTGCTCCTTCCGCATCATCCTCCCTAGTTCACTTCCACCATCATCCCCACCTGATCCTCCGCGCTGTCGTCGTCATCGTCATGGTCATCACGCTGCTCCTAGCAATCCTCATACAACTCATCATAACCCCTCATCATCAATTGTCTCACTTATCATCCTCACCACCATCATCGTCATCGTCATATCCGTTCTCGTCAACTTCACCTCCATCCTCATTATCAGAATCATCGTCATCACTACCACCATCTAGTTCATCGACAATCATCACGACTGTCATCGCCGTTAGCAGAATCAGCCTAGCCTTCGTCAGCAGCATGTTCCCCACGTGCAGCAAAAAGCAGCAGCAGCATCATCAACATCATCAGCAACGACATCCTCATCATCACGCTGCTACTGCGACAACTAATCAAACGCTTGCTCCTCCAACACAACATTGTCATGATCATGGTCTCCCGGATGGTCCTCCCGATCATCGTTACCATCGCGCACCATCCACATCGTCATCAATAACATCAACATTGGCATCGTCAGCATCATTCAGATCATTGTTATCACCACCACCACTACCACCATCATCATCATCAGCATCAACAGCACCACCATCATCATCACCATTACCATCATCAGCACCACCACCATCAGCATCAACATCATCATGATTTAAATCAACAACATCATGGAAACCTGATCGGGCGAGAACGGGAAGCGCCGCTTTAGTCCAATGGGCTAATTGGGTGAAGAAGGAGGCGATGACGAGGAGGACGTGGAAAACGTGAAGATAGCGAGGAGGAGCACGAGGACACCGACAAGGGAGAGAAGCACAAGGACGAGGACGAAGAAAACCAGGGCGAGTACGGGCACGAGGAGGGAGGACGATGACGACGACGACAACGGAGGACACTAAGAGGCAAGTGGAGAAAGGTGTTAAATCAGGAGAGGGTCCTGGTGACCCTATCGGGCTACCCTGTGGGTTCCTGGCGCCGCGCGGGGTTGTCTTGGGGCCTGCTGGGGGGTTCTTGGGAGCCTCTTGGGTCCCCTTGTGGGCTCTTGGGGTCTTTTTGGGCTGTCTTGGCGCGTCATGGCGTTCTCTGGGCGCTTTCTTGGGCAGTGCTGGCGACATCTTGGGCCGTGCTGGGGTTTTCTTGGGTCGTTTGGGGGCCTCTAGAGGCGTTCCCACGAGTCTCTCGGGGCCCTCATGGCCCGTCTTGGGACGTCTGGGGGTTCTTGCGAGCTGTGTGGGTGCCTCCTAGAGCGCCATTGGGAGTCTCTGGGGGTCCTTTGGGGGCGCTCTTGGGCGCTCTTGGGCCCCCCGGGCCGTCTCTTGATTCTCCTTTGGGCCGTTCGAAAACCCTCCAGGAGCCATTCTAAGACGACGTCGATTCGGAGTCCCCTTCGGGGTCGGCTTTTTGAGGACGTCTCATGCGAAACGGCGATTCATCAGAAACCCGGTCGGACATGAACGGGAAGCGCCGCTTTAGTCCAGTGGTATTTTTGAACGAAGCAGAAAAAAGGAAGGCGAGGGCGAAGACGCGGAGAACGCAGGATAGCGATGAGGAGCACGAGGACAGAGAGAAGGAAGAAAAGCACAAGGACGATGACGAAGAGAACGAGGGCGAGCACGAGAAGAAATACGGAGGACGATGTCGCGTGTTCCCGTATGTTCCCGCGCTCCTGCCTGATGTGCCGTGCTCCTGCGCGTTCTGCCGTGCCGTTGTGTGTTCTCTGTGATTTCCCGTGTTCGTGCATGTTCCTGTGCTCCCGCGCGTCCTGCCACGCTCCCGCGCTCGTTCTGCTGGGGTTCTGTGCGATCTGCGCGTTATGCCGAACTCCTGCGTGTTCTTGTGCTCCTGTGTGTTCTGCCATGCTCCTGAGCGTTGTCTGCCCTGCTCTTGTGTGTGTTATGTGTGTCATGCAATGTTGCTGTGTGTTCCTGTATTCCTGCGTGTTCTGCCGTGCTCCTGCGTGGTCTGCATGTTCCGCCGTGTTCCTGTGCCTTCTGCCATTCCTGCGTGTTCTGCCGTGTTCCCGTGCGTTTTGCCGTTCGCCTGTGTTCTGCACGTTCTGCCGTTATCCTGCGTGTAATGCCGTGCTCCTGTGCGTTTTGCCGCGCTCCTGCATGCCCTGCCGTGCCCCAATGCGTTCGCCTTGCTCCTGCGCGTTCTGTGCGTCGCGACACTCGAGGGACGGCGTCCAAATCGCGAGCGACTTGAACGCCGCCTTGAACAAGGGAGGCCGCGTCTCATAACAGCTCACACAAGAGCCCGCCGAAGACGACCGCCACGCGCGGCCACCGCCAGCGCCCGCTCCCGTTTAGGAGCTCTTTGCCTCCCGCTGACCCCCGACGACTCGGCAAGCCGCATGCTCCCCTTGGAGCCCTCGCCTCACGCAGGGTCGGCCGACGGGCCCCGCCCCGACTTGACGGATCCGCCGCTGCAGCCCAGCACCTCCAGGGAGGCGAGCAAGTCTCGCCCGTGCTCACCAGGGCGATCGCGACGAAGCCACCCCCTGCGTCGCAGAGGACCTCCGCAGCTGCTCTCGCCAGGACCCCCTCGCTGACCAGCAGATTCGACCCCGTCGGCGGGACATCGCTGGCGGTAGGCTCCAGCGGCCGTGGAGGCGGCCTGGCTCCCTGAACCGAATCGGCCACTCGTCGTCGGCCAAGCTCATCTTGTCGCCGCCGTCGGCGACGGGCGTCGCAGCAGGCACCCGCTCGCGAGGCCCACGCGCGCAGCTCCAGCAACCGCTCCGCCGCCGTCCGCGGTTTCCTCCAGCCCAGCACAGGCGGGCACCACGATGGCAGCATCCTTTTCCTCCGCCTCCTCCCGCCCCTGCTTCCTCTGGCATCCACGGGGCCTCCGCCGCCGCCGCAGGGCCGCGGCAAGCGGGATGGCCTCTGGTTCCGCGGGAACCGCCGCAGCCCGCACCATGCCGTCGGCAGCGCGGAGGAGGCGGGCGGCATCTCTCTCCGCGGTGTTCAGAAACCCTGCGGCCGCGTGGACTGCCAGAGCCGCCCCGCGGGCAGCCTCCAATGCCGCGGCGCGGACGACCATCGACGGCGGCGGCCCGAGGCGGGAGCCGCGGCGCGCGACCCGGCTCGTCGGGGCATGATCCAAATTGGCTCTTGTGTGTTCTGTGTGTTCTGCTGTGTTCCTGCGTGTTCTAGCCGTGCCCCCTGTGTGTGTACGTGCCAAACTCCTGTGTGATGATTGTGTTCTGCCGTGCTCCTGTATGTTCTGCCGTGTTCCTGTGCGCTCTGTGTGTTCAGCCGTGCTCCTGTGTGTTTCGCTGTGCTCTTGCGCGTTAAAGGTTAAAGTTAAAGGCGGGGCCTTCAAGGCACAAGAAAAAAAACAACCAGGACGCGGACAGGGCCAGACGGGACAACCATTCCCGAAAGAAGCCGAGTCCAAAGCAGAGCGCACCACGCGTGCCTACTCACCACAGGGAGCAACACCCGAGACGAGCCGATGCTTCCTCTTCACTCACTCATGGACGGCGGGCCGCGGTGCGCCAGACGGCGGCTGACCCTGCGGCTCACCAGGCCGCCGCTCGCCGTGCTGCTCGCGGCGGCAAGCCCCTCCTCGGTGTCCCCGTGCATGCCGAGACGCTCAGCTCCCTTCGAGGCTGGCTGCTGCAGGGGCACGCTGGCGGCCGCCTCCTCCGCCGCCAGCACTGCCGCGGGATCAGCTGGGCAGCAGCTTGGGCTGCTGGCTGCAGTCGAGGCACCGCCTGCAGACTCCGCCCTCATGCCGAGCCACACCACGTAGCGCTCCTGGGCGTGCCATGGCACTGGCCCTTGCGAACGCAGAGCGGGGATGCCCTCTCCCTTCGCTCTCTGCTTATCCGCTCGTGGCCTTCCTCCAGGATGGAGCCCTCGCTCCCACCGGCTGCGCTGGTTCATGCCCGCCTTGCTCGTCATGTCGCCTGGGCACCGTTCCTTCAGGCGAGGCTTGGCTCCCGCGCGGCTGCCCAGCATCTTGTAGGCCCCGCACTTGGAGCAGGCCACGACCTCCCGGGCGTCTTCGTCCGCGCCCGCGCAGCCGTGGCAGAGCGCGTGCCCCAGGATGCTGAAAGCGACAGCAGCGGCCGAGATGGTGGTCGTGCTGCCCTCCGTTGAGCGGCTGCTCTTTAGGCATGGCCGCCTGGTGGGAGCGCCGACGCCGAGGGCCGCTCCAGCCAGCGGAGGCTCCTCGGCTGCAGCGGCCTGCGCCTGGCGTTGCTCGCCCGCAGGAGGGGGCCCTTCGAAATCCTTGGCCGCGCCATCGAGGCGCCGCTTGCCGTCGAGCCTGCCGTCAGCTGGCTTGCGACTCCTGCCGAAACGCATCGTCCAGTGCATGGTGGGCACCACGCACGTGCTGCTCCCTCACGCCCAGCTCGATGCCTGGTCGTCCGAGCAGCCGCCCGATGGCGTTCCCGAACAACGGCCGAAGCAGGAGGGGGTCGCAACCGAGCTTCCGCTCCTCATGGCGGTTGGGGGCCTGCCGAGCATCATACCCAACCATTGCGCCCCGCGCCTGAGGCCCGAGGAACATGGGCTCGAGCTCGTCACCTGGGTCCGCGACCTTGCACCGCACCGATTCGAGGCACCAGCCGACCTGCTCCAGGGTCTGCACCACTGCGACGGTGGGCGAGGCACAGCGCCCCCCTGCGGCGCCACTAGCGCGCCTGGCTGCTGCTGCCTCCAACCCCCCAACATGCATCCTGCGCGGCAGCTCGGCTGACTGCAGCAGGTCCGTCATCACTGCCGCTGCCTCGAGATGCTGAAGAACTCCCACTTGGCCAACGAGGTCGCTCCACTCGCTAGTGCCGAACTCGAGGGCCCCGAACACGTCCTCCTCACAGGCCGCTGTGGTGGCTGCCTCCACATCGTCTGGCCAAAGCACCACCTGCCACAAGTACCGAGCCCCGTGCAAGGGCTGCCAGCGCCGCTTTCTGTCAGCCGTGAGCCTCTGCAGCGCTACATCGAGGGCCTGGCGCATGGCGTGGGCGGGGGCCGAGCGTCGGTAGCGGCACTCGTGCTTGACCCCCGCGCCGAAGGGCATGAGGACCGCCATGGGCCCCTCGGCCCGTCCCATGCACCCGCGTAGGTCGCCGTCGTCGACGCAGTGGATCCCCGCCAAGGTGCTCTCGACAACCAGGATCCTCTGGCAAGCAGCCTCATGGGGGGCGCTCGGGTGGGAGCGCACCTCCCAGGGCCAACGGCAAGGCTCCACCTGCCTGCGAGTGCGCTCCGCACGGCTTTCCACCTGGACATCTCCAACTTCGCGGGGTCGGCGAGCTGCGGCGTCGACATCAGGGAAACGACCTGGGCGGACCAGCACCTGCATCAAGGCCTCTGTTCCCGCGTCCTGCAGCCGCAGCCTTGCAGGCTTGTGGGGGTGAGGCCCAGGGCCATCCAGCGCTGAGGCCTCACTGGCCCCCTGGGCCCGACCGAAGGGGCTCGCAAACCAGTCGTGCACACGCTCGGCCCCTTGGCCTGCGCTCGTGAAATCGGAGAGCCCCAGGTACGTACCTCGCTGCGCTCTGGCCCATCCCAACTCGTGCAGCTTGCCTGGCCCCATGTTGAAGTCGCCCTGCGCCAGCCAGGGCACGCCCGCGGAGAGCTCGATGCCGCCGAAGGCTGCGAAGAAACCAAGGTTGACGCCTGCGGGCCCCAGGGCGCCGTGCAGGCGGGCCACCTCGGCGCTGCCACCGCCCAGCTGACGTGGCCCTGCAACGCTGGCCTCACCGGGCCTTCTCCTGCACTGGCGGGCCTCCTCCGCCCCTGCCCCCAGCTGCGTGGCCAGCAGGGCGAGCAGCCACAGGGGCCAGGTCTGCAGCCTCGGCTGCCAGCTCCCGCTCGCAGGCCTGCGCCACCTGCGGCCGCTCGCCGAGCGCGTTGCCATACCGCTCGGCTTGGCCGCGCTCCGCTGCGGCCTGGGGCTGCCAGGGGCCGCTGCTGCCTGCGAGGTTGCCGTCGTTGCCGTCGTCGCTGCTGAACTCGTCCGTGGGGCAGGACTCTGCCCGCGGCGCTTGCGTGGGGGCCAATGAGGGCCCAGCGAGCTGCGCTCGCACCGCCTCCACCTGGGCGCGGATGGCTGCCCACGCGACGTCGAAGTTGCTGGAGGCCCAAGCCTCAGGCAGCTTGTCCAGCTGCGTGAGGAGCCCTGGGACCTGGCTGGCTCCTGCCCACTCGGCGGCGCGCTGGCGCTCCCGCGCCTCCGCCTCCTCGCGGGCGGCTTCCTCGAGGACCTGGGGCGCCCTGCTGGCCTCCTCCAGCGCGCCGCCCCGCTCCGCGAGCTCCTCCTGGGCCTCCTGGAGCTGGGCCTCCGCGAGGTCGCGCGCCACCTGCTTCTGCTCCAGGTCCTGGCGGGCTGCGCGGAGCCGTTTCTCCGACTTGCTGATGGCGTTGGCCTCCTTGCGCAGCGGCGTCGACCGCGGCATGGTGGCGGCCTTCTGCTCCGCCGCTGCCTGCTGGGCCCTGGCCAGCTCTGCCCGCTTCGACTCCAGCTGGCTGGCCACGACGCCGGTGAAGCTGCCGTCCACGCCCTCGGGCGGCCCAGCCTGCAGCGCCTCCAGCTGCTCGACCGTCGCCTGCAGCCTCTCGATCGCTGTGACTCCACCGCCACTCGGCGCCCCACTGGCCGCAGAAGCCGAGGTCTGCGACTTGGCGGATGCCGCTCGCGAGGCAGCGCTGCGGGCCTGCCGCTGGGCTTTGCGCCCCCTCGGCTGGCCCACCCAGCCGCCCTCGTCGGCCTTGGGCTTCCCCGCGGCGGGGGCAGACCCCAGAGCCCAGGGCGGTGCTGCATGCCCACAGCTGAGGCAAGAGGCTCGTCAGTCAAAGTTCCAACCTCCGCAGCTGCACATCCAGCACGGCCTGCTGCGCTTGCCACTGCTGCCGCAACGCGAGGAGCGCGCCATGGCCCCAGGCGCACGGGCCGAGCGGTCGCGCCTCCGCGCTGTGAAAGCCAGGAGCGGGACAACAGAGTGCACTGGCCCAAAGCGAGGAGCCCCTCGCGCTCAGAACGCAGCGGACGACTCGCGGTCGTCGGGTGCTCCATGGCCTTGAGCCAAAATGGCTACGGATGTGCTCTTGTGTGTTATGCCGTGCTCCTGTGTGTTCTGCCGTGGTCCCGTGTGTTCTGTGTATTATGCCATGCTCGTGTGCGTGCTGCCGTGCTCCCGTGTGTTATGTGTGTTCTGCCGTGCTCCTGTGTGTCCTCCGATGTTCTATGTGTTTTGCCGTGCCCCTGTGTGTTCTGATGTGTTCATGTCTGTTGTGCGCGTTTGAGTGTGAGTGTGGGTGTGAGTTTGAGTGTGAGTGTGAGTGTGACTGTGAGTGTGTGTGTGTGTTCTGTGTTGTGTGTTGTGTGTTGTGTGTTGTGTGTTGTGTTGTGTGTTGTGTGTTGTGTGTTGTGCGTGTTGTGTGTTGTGTGCGTGTTGTGTGTGTTTTGTGTGTATTGTGTGTTGTGTTGTGTTGTTGTGTTGTGTTGTGTTGTGTTGTGTTATGTTGTGGTGTGCTGTGTCGTGTCGTGTCGTGTCGTGTCGTGTTGTGTTGTGTTGTGTTGTGTTGTGTTGTTTTGTGTGGTGTGTTTGTGAGTGTGTGTGTGTGGGTGAGTGTGTGTGTGTGTGCGTGCGTGCGTGCGTGTGTGTGTGATGTGTGTGAATGCGTGTGTGTGTGTATGTGTGTGCGCGTCTATGTGTGAATGTGTGTGTGTGCATGTGTGTAATGTGTGTGTGTGTGTGTTCAGCCGTGCTCCTGTGTGTTTTGCTGTGCTCAAGCTTGTTCTGTGTGTTATGCTGTGGTCCTGTGTGTTATGGCCGTGTTCCTGCGTGCTCTGCGGTGTTCCTGCGTGGTCTGCTGTGCTCCTGTGTGTTCTGAGTGTTCAGCTGTGTTCCTGTGTGCGCTCAGCCGTGTTCCTGCGCGTTCTGCCGTGCTCGTGCGCGTTCTGCCGTGCTCCTGTGTGTTCTGCCGTGTTCGTTCGAATTTTGCAATGTTCCTGCATGGTCTGCGTGTTCCGCCGCGTTCCTGCGGGCCCCTGCGCCCGTTTGCGTTCTGCCGCGCCCCTGCGCATTCAGCCATGTTCCCGCGTATCTTGCGCGCCCGAGGGCGTCTATCTGCAGCGACAGCGAGCCCTTGTCTTGCATGGTTTAAGCCAGAACCGCATTGTTTGGGAGCACCGTCGCAGGGCGGATCCCCCAGCATGCGCGTTTTGAGCGGGTGTCTCTGGCGAAACGCTGGCTGTTTGCAAAAGATAATGATGGCGCGTCCCCAAGTTGGCGAGGGCGCCCCTCGCGGAATCGTCGTTTTCTGTCGTCTGACGGGCGCCTTTAGGGCCATAGTGACAGTTCAATTTCGTTTTTTTGGCGACGCTGTGATGCAGCCACAAATAATTGCAATGCGAGTCTAGGCGCGCATCTCTGTTCGGGGGATGTCCTTCCACAAATGATGTTCGACCACCACGGTTTAAGACGATGCCACAGTATTTGTCACATGTTGAATATGTCCCTCGCGAAATCGCCATCCCCGGCTGTCTTCAGGGCATTGGTGGACCCATTTTGGGGCCATTTGAAAGGTATTGTTTCATCATGTTGGCGCATTTCGAAACCTATATCTCAAAACGAGGTTGAGAACATGCCGTTGTTTGGAAAATGTCCCCAGCGAAATGGGGCCAAACCTGCAGTGTTCATCGCGTTGGTCTGCTACCTTTCTGCCCATTGCCTGAAGACGCCCTTGGCGAAAACGTCGCTTAGTCCAAAGTCGCGGCACAGGGGCTGACCATGAGGCAGTTCGCGGAGAGCCATACTCTTAGGATCACGTCGGCGACACATCGAGGCATCCCACAACTCACCCCTCGATGGCAAGCAATGCGACAGGTAAGAGAGGAACCATAGGATCGGAAGATGGATCATGGATGGGCGTGGACTTTGTCCAATACTGCGCTCCGCAGATAGAGGCGCACAGGGTCGCACGACTAGCAAATGAGACTGCGCAGTCTTGAGCCAAGACAGCGTCGGATATAACGCTTGTTATGCAGCCTCTCCTCAAACCTCGTTTACATATATTGTCAAGAGGGGAGGGGCCGAACGCCATATCCAAGTCCTGCATAATTAGGTCAAGCAAAGAAGGAAGATAGGGAGGTCGTTTAACAAAAAACCTAACATAATACAATATCAGAAAACAAACATGGCAGAATTGAACGTATCGGGCCGGTCATGGCGAATTGCCACGACCATCCGCAGACGATCATGAGCAGTCACGGGCAAGCCCACGCGACTACCCGCAGAAAAACAAGGGACGACGCCCAGCCAGCGGGCCAGACAACGAAGCGTGCAGCACGCGATGGGAATATGACCCAACGGCCAAATCCCTTTTATAATAAGAGTGAATAGCGCCCGTGTCCGGGCACTCATGGTAGCTGAGGACCTATGAGTATCTATGCCCGTGGCCGAGCGAAGATAACCGCGTTGTAGGCATGCGTGCCCGTGTCCCGGCAAGAATAACTACTTGTCTGAGTTCGAGTAGCCATCCGCATCGGTATCCGCTGGCCCCGAAAAGGGCACCCCTATGTTGGCGCTGCGTCTCTTTTACCTCGATGGGGCACGCACTTCTTTACTTCGCACCTGAAGGACTGATGGACCTCCACCACTTGCAGCATCCACGCGCGATCGATGCACCTCTCGGCATGGCCGTCAGCGGCCATGTCGTGCATCACACCACTGCACGCTATGAATTGCACGTCGGTCCATCTTTTGTCTTATCCAACTGATGTGTTCCCGCAGGGCGCATTCGGTCGGCTTCGTCAAGTCCTTACTTGACAAAAAAAAAAAAAAAAAAAAAAAAAAAAAAAAAACGAGCCAGCGCCTATGGCAAGGATGGCGTTAATGCTGAGACCACCAAACTCTGGAATGCATATAAGTTGAGAGGGCGATAGGGGTCCAGCTGTAAGCTCATGTAGCGCAGCGATGGTAGGGTAGCAGCCCTCAAGCTCATGAGCGGCCGCCAGTGCCTCAGCTGAGTAGGTGGAACGCACCTGCAAGCGATGAGACTTCCAGCGCGGACCGATCAGATGTACTACTGCCTTGCCATTAGGCGCGTCTCCACGCAGTGAAAGGTTGACCCCTCGGACGCCACACCCCTTTACTTCGTCATCTTCGCCCCCGTTAAGGCGACGATGTCCTGAGTCACAGTGAAGGTCCACGTCTCCTGTCGGAGTCGTAAGTTGAGATATTCTTTTCTGTGGGCCTTGCTGAAGATTGCGCGTGGCACTGTCAAATCTCCGCACTTGGAGATGCGCGGGAACCTGTGCACGTCGCAAAGCTACCACGGGAGTCTCAATTATCAATGCATACGCCAAGGCACCACGTAAACTGATGAACACGTCGGACACGGTCTTCGCTGCCATTTCCCCCGCTACAACGCCCGTAAATTCTGGCTGTTGTATCGGACGAAGCTGTTTGATGCATTCGTCCTGGTCTAGCCGGACGCGGCCGCCCTCGGCCCCAGCGCGTCGCGCGGCGCAAGCTGCTTAACAATGTTTGTTCAGTTTGCATGCGCCGAACGCATCTTCCACACATTTGACGAACTTGCCAATATTTTTCGCCACTCCTGCCGCGTTCACGCCATCCGCGTGCTTGGCTGTCAGGAGGTTCGGGCTTGTCTCAAATTCTTCATGCGACAGAAGTTTAAGCCCGAATCCTCGCGCGATGGTTCTGAGCTTCAGCGAGAATGGCCCAGGGGCGTCTTTGGCGCCAGGCACTGCAGACAATGCTTTGACTCGCCAACCCAGGCAACGCGCGCAGCACCGAGGCTGAACCGGGCGGATGATCAAAGCAAACCACGCGCTCCTTCCCTCCAGTGGCTTCTGCCAGTTCACGACTGGTCAGACCGTTAAAGAAAGCCTCATCGATGTCCGTGGATGCTTCACTGCTTCCTTGCACGCGGCCGCGCTGACGAGCAATCTCTGGCTTGCTCGACGAGCTGCGCCTGCGAACAGTTCTACGTCGAATGTTCCGACATCCATCAAGCCGCGAAGAACAAGGCGCAGTCGCATTGTTCGCCCCATTTCGCCGTGGTCGTTTTTGACAAACTTCCACTTGCACACGTACTTAGAGGTCATGCTATTTGAATCATTCTTGGCGTCTCGCATCTTGGAGCATGTGTTATCATGCGCATTGTTGAATCCAGTGCACAAAGATTTGGGTATATTTGCCGGGTTGTCTTGTATTTCTGCCTTCGTCAGGAGGTCGTCTTTCTTGACAACCACAGCTCTTCTAGCTGCGGCTGAGACATATACACGCGTTGCAGTTACTTGGTCGCTGCGTAGCGACTCGCATTGTTGCTCTCATAGACCAACCTGAGCTATGTCAGCAGTAAAGCACAAGTCAACATGCTGACCGATGTCGCCCGACTGGAGATCGTAAGTCTCGTCGCATTCGGTGGTCTAAGGTAGCAGAAAGGTTTCGCTGGTGACATCGCTCCGAGCATACCACGACCGATATCTCGCAAAAGTCCTTGCTCTTCACTGGCCACGGCCACGAGCACGCGACTGTCGGTAACCATTCCGGTCTCGAACATATCCTGTTCCTCCTGGAGCTGTACATACCACGCGTCCATGATGCGCGCATCCAGGTCCGATTCTGCTTCTTCAGCGATTACTGGTAGCCTGCCGTCAAGCGCGGCCGGCGCTGGAAGTCCATCGTCCTCTTGAGCGTGGCCGCCGAGCGCTGGCGTGTTCGCAAGGTCCTCAAACTTTGAGAGATCCCCATAAAGGCCTGCCGAAGGTTTTGATGATTATCAGCG